AAGGTCACTCAGCCAGTGAAGACCTCAGTGTCTGGCCTCTGCCTGGCCAGTGCCATCCTGTGCTTCTAGGGCTGGTTTCCTCTGTGAATTCATAGTCCTGTTGAACTCTGGGAATGGCCTGGCATGACCTTCCTCTCCAAGCCAAAGCTGGTCTTTGTCCTTGAGTGGAGCCACAGAAGCCTGAGTAGCAACTCCAAGGACAGGAGGGTGGGGGCTGGAAATGGCACAGCCTGTGGCCTTCATGAGGTCCCAGCCTTGCCCTGCTGGGGTCCCTAGTGTGTCCACATTCTGCCTGCTCCAGGGCTAGCCCAGCCTGGCCAGGGCAGACTACTGACCTGCTGAGGCAGGAGGGCAAGTTTCACCCACGTATGCCTACAACAATGGAAGAGGAGGGAGAGACCATGAAAATCCACTTATAGCCTGGGCTGGACATTCTGGTTGGATGCTATCGTGGTGCTTTGAGGCAGGACATTCATATTGTTTCGTTCTCCCATAGATGACACAGGGCTGTCCTCTAACAGATGCTCAGAAGTGTTTGCTACATGAATGAATGAATGAATGAATGAGCGAGTGAGCAAGCGAGTGTGCAGGTGAATGGGTATGTAAGAGGCAAGGCCTGAGGCTTTACTCATCTCAGTCTTGTTCTGCCTGACACATGCCCTATGCACTGTGCTCTGTTGAATGGTTATGGAATGAATGAGTGGCCTCCTGAGAGCCTCTCTTTTCTCTCTCATCCTCTCATCTCCTCCCAGCCCCTCCTGGAGTAGAATAAAATTGTACTGGGGATGGAAGGAGATCCCCCTGCTGTTCCTTGCTGCCCAACTACTGGAGCTGTGTGCTGATGGGCGCCCCTCACCGTGGAATTGTTGCTATTCAGTGGGCCAAGGTCACGCTTGGCACTTTTGGGCTCTGCCACCTAAAATCTGTATGACCTTGTACAAATCACTCCTCCTCTCTTTCCTAATGTGTGATATGGAGCTAAAAACAGAATCCAGCACAGAGGCCGCTCAGAGGAGCAGTGAAATGTAAGGGAAAGGGCTCACATGGAGCTGAGCACAGAGCAGACTGTTCACAAATGCTTGCTGCTCTTCTTAGTACTAAGGTGCACATTGCTATTTCTATGCTCCCTCCTCCCACTGGCCTGGGGCTCCCCAGTGCCCATGGCAGCCAGAAAAACAAGGAGAGATGACAAAAGGCAGGCAGGGCCAAGGGCTCCTTCCTTGTTGTTTTAATAAAAATAAAGACAGCCCTTAGACATCCTTCTTCTGCTCAGTGTTCTGCCAAGGCAAGCCGCAGACTCAATTCCTCCTCAGACTTGGAAAGTTCTTCTTCTTTCCCTTGCCCTGTCACATTTCTTTTATCTAAATGCTCAGCTATGAAAGGGCATATCGACAGCTGGGGGCGTTATCTGGTGGAGGGGACCTTTTCCTCCGGTGTCTCTGAGATAAGGCTTCTTATCAGCCCTCATGTCAGGGACGCTGCCAAAGCATTCTAATCATTGAGGCTTGCGACATTTTTCCCCTCCCACCCCCTTTTATTATTAAAAGTCACAAAAGACCTTGAGCTTATAAACAGTCTGATTTGTAGATAGGGTTTCAAAATGAGCATCAGCTCTCTGAATGGTTCCTAGCTGGGTCAGGGGAGTCCATGTCCGGGTTCTGAGCTTTCTGCAGACCAGATGGTGCCAGGCCGAGAGGGAGCAGGGTGGGGATCACAGGAAGACCTTTTGTGTTTTAGGTGCCCACCTCAGTCCTGTCCCTGGCTTGCTGTGTGACCTTGTGTAGGATGCTTGGCTTCTCTGGGCTTCATTTACTTTATCTGACAATAGCCAATTCTCTGATACAGCCATTCATTTGACACTTATTTATTAAATGATTACTCTTTGCCAGGCACTGGGGAGAGAGAAACAAATAAGACATGGTCCTTGTCCCTAAGAAACCACAGTCCAATGGAGAAAGACAGATGTGAAAATTGGCAATTACAACTCAGTGTGATTAGGACTGTGATGGGGGTGGGGATCGCCCAGGGGAGGCGACAGCTGAACCAGAGTCTAAAGCGATCCCAGTTATTAACATGGGTTGGGATGACTGCCATGGGCAGGGATTTTACATGTGCAAAGGTTTGGGGATGTGAGGCAGCTAGCTGGAGGGAGGGGAAGAGGGGAGCCGTGGAAGATGAGGTGGGGTCTAAAAGAGCCAGGCTTTGTTTGGAGGCCAGAGAGAAGTTTTGTTGCTGGTGGATTTTTAGGTTTTTTTTTTTTTTTGATGGTACTAAGGATTGAACTTAGGGTCTTGTACATATGTTCTGTCACTGAGCTACATCCCTAAGACCAGAGAGAAGGTCGAGGGGAGGCCTGATTTGTCTTGTTTGTAGATGATGGAGGTGATCTGGAAAGTGGAGGGAGGGAAAGGGTGTCCACTCTCCATCTTGCTCAGCTGGCCCCTCCCACATCCTAGACCTCTCTCCATCTGCCCCCATCAGCAGTACACAGGGTCCTGGGAGAATGGGCACTGAGCTAGGGAAACTGGAGGTGCAAGGAGAGAAAACTCCTCCTCTCCTAGGGCCTGACATCCTGCCTTCACAGCTGAGGAATGGGGTGATGAAGGCAGCTGCCCCAGAGAAACTGGGCCATGACATGAACGCCATCTCCTCCTGAAATCCCTCTCTGGCCTGAGCTCAGTCGGTGACTCCCTTGGCTTCCCATGGCCTGCATGTCTGCATCAGAACCGTCTGAAGACAGAACCCCAGTGCGGGCAGCTTGGAGACCTGATGGGGGCCCCAGAGCTACAGGCTGGCCTGCCCTTTCCAACTGCATGTGCACCTAGATGGGTGCCCCATGGGGAATTGGGGATCTGCTGAGAGGCTGGACTTCTGTCTCCCTGGACCAGGTGAAGGCTAGAGGCATGGCCAGGAACCTGGAGGAAAATGACCTGGGCAGGACACAGGGATAATGGAATGACTTTTATAGGCCAGAGAGGGGCTGTAGCCCTTCTCCCCCAGGGTATACAGTGAGTGCTGGGAGTGGGGGAGACTCCAGGCTTCCAGCCCAGGGTGATAAGAGGTGGATGCTGCCCTGGAGCAGATGAGAGAGGCTGGCCAGGGCAAGTCAGGGTGCTATGGGCCTCTCACCTCCCAGTTGTGCATCCCTGTGAATTGCAGTGTGTGCACACGAGGGGCCACAGGAGTGTGTGTGGATGCCCAGCACAGCGCGTCTGACTGGAGCGGAGTGTGCCCACAAGCTCCAGTGTGGCCTACAGGCCAGTGTCCAGGAATGTAGTGGTGGCAGGCCTGCCTCTGCCACCTGCTCACATCCCAGGTCCTGTGGGACTGTGTTCTGCAGTCAAGGACTTTCATCCCTGTGATAAGCCCCACTTTACTCTCTTCTTAAACTGTGTAATTTCTGCCTGATTGTAATGGCATATTTTAAAATTACCAGAAATCAAAGCTGAGAAGTGGATGCTGCACCATTTATTGCCTTGCTGTGTTAAGACTGGCGACTGGAGGAAGGAGAGGAGAATCCTCCACCCTCCCCCACATCAGTCCATCCCCCACGTTCTCTCTGTCTCTTGCTCTCTTTTTTTTTTTTGAGACAGTAATAGGAGAAAATTGGTTTTGAAACTGAATAAAAGTCCCTTTCAGAGGAAATCATTTCTTTCAGGGTACCTTTGCTGAAAGTAAAATAGAGCATAATGAAAGGTGGTTACGTGATTGTCTTTCATTTACCGGGAGACCAGGACAGACGGGAGGCTGCCACCATCTCAGGGAAATACAAGATTGGAATAATTGCGCTGTAACAAGGAGCTTGTTGTGAAATTAGTATCTTAAGAAAGTAGTGAAAAAGGCTTTTCCTCATGAATACTTCATTATTAGAAGAAAGCAGCAGAATTCAGGGCTCCAGACACCTGTTTAGTATTGAATAACTTCCCTTTCTTCCCCTAAACACACACCGCCTCCCTCCTTCTTCTTCTCTTTCCAGACCAACACAGGAGGATAGAGGTGACCCAGCCTGCCTGCTAGGGAGGGGTGGGGCGAGGTGTTTGAATTGGGAGCCACTGGGTGCCTGGGGTTGAGCTCCTGCCTAGATCTGCCTTCTCTGTAGCAGGGAGAGAAGAAGAAAGGGACCTGGTTGGGAAGCCTCTACCATCTCACAGTGGCCTCCAAATCAGGCCTGTCCTGACCCTGGGCTTATAGGCGCTGGTCCCTTGGGAATGTACTTCCATCTCTCAAAGTGTTCATGGCAGGAAGGAGGCTTTGTGAAGGTAAATGTGAGTTTCCTGTGAACAGCAGCATCTGCTCTGGTGAGTGAGTATGGCATGGGCCTATCTGAGCTGCATCTGAGGGGCAGGACTCTGCTGTACAGTCTGACTTGGGTGGCTCTGGCCTGTCCCCTTGAGGTGAGGAACTTGATCGGGTGGCAGCAGAGATACTTGGCCAGGGCAGCCCTGTTGGCCTCTGGAACTGGGTTGGAGCACACCTCCACCTTTCCCAGGTGCAGCCTGACATCTCCATTCCAGGAGTGCTATGAGAACGCCCACACAAGGGTGCACAGGCACCGCTGCACTTCCTGGTCACCCATGTGGATTCCAAAAATGACCAGATGGGGTCTTTCCCCTCTTGATGAGCTAGGAGTTACAAGATCTCACAGGATTACAGGACAGCCAGGATCCTCCACCAGCTGAAGGATAGTTTGCCTTAGGACACAGAGGGGTGAGGATCTTACCCAATCCAGGGGTGTTAGGGCAGCCCCCTTGAGGAGGTGACTCATACAACTGAGTGGACCAGGGGAATTTCTCAAGTCATTATCTGTGGCCCCTCAGGAGACCTAAATTCTCTCTCTTGGTGTGCTTCAAATGAGTTCTGTCTGCCTTGGCCTCCATCTCCTCATCTGTCATTGAGGGAGACTGGGAGACTTGCTTTGAAAGACAGAGTACTGGGGAGGGTGGTGGGAGGTGGCACAGAGCAGCCCTTGAGTGACAAGTGTCTCATGTCCCTCCTCACAGAGACCCTGCTGCAGAGCTCGCCTCATTGGGAACCCTCAGCTCAGCCATGCTAGCCTGTCTGCAGAGGACGCAGAATCCACCAGGCCAACACCTGGCCTGCCCAAGCAAGAGCCTGGAACTGCGCAAGTGTAAGTGGAACCCTCCCCATCCTCCTCCTCTTCCCCTGCTCACTCTGAGTCCACAGGGGCAAGCTTTATGCTCCTCAGGCCTTTTCAGGGCAGATCCCCACCTAGGAATACTATCCAGTCCCTAGTGAGTCACCACGATGAGTCTCAAAAATCTATGTCCTCTGTGGCCTCTGGGCCTTTGCCCATGCTGTGCCACCTCATTGGTCTGACTCCCCAATGATGGAGTCACCCACCCTGTCTGGCCTGGCCTCTTTTCTCTTCAACCTTCTCTGACCCCCACCAGCACCATGGCCTAACCCATTCTCTGCACCCTGTCCATGCTACATTCTGGGTGGCTCATCCTCACTTCCATGCATTTGCAGAAAGCAGGACGGTGTGGAAGCAGAGGCCTGCATTGGATCCAGCCCAGGGTCTTGTTGGTTGGTTGATAAAGGGCACATCTTTTCCTCTCTGAACTTGTGTTTTCCATGTGTGAAATTAGAAGGGTAGATTTGGTCACCTTCAAGAGTGTGTCTTCCTTGGCCATCTAGCACCAGGATCTCAAGCCCTCTGATCATTTTTAGCCACCTTGGGTTTAAAAGTACATGAAAAACAGTTAAAAACAGAGATTTGCATAAACTATGGATTTCCAGTGCCTCCTGAAAGGTTTCAGAGGATCCAGTGACACAGGCCTGTGTTGCTGCCCTGCTGCGATTGGTTAGAGCTGAATGTCATCTTGTGAAGGGGGGGCATCCCCTCCAGCATACTGGTTTCCAGCCCTCCATATCACTCTGGCCTGTAGCCCAGGATCAGTTGCTGTTTATCATCATGCTGACACTGTGGCTTTTTTTCTTTTAAGTATGTATTTATCTTTAGACAAGGTAACATTCCTGTTGTCCGATATTGAAGAGGAAGGAAGGGGTGTACAGACAAAAGCCTCCCTCTCCCAGAGTAGCCAGTGCCATCAACTTCCTGTGTGTCCTCCCATGAGATGTTTTATGGACATCCAGCAAATGTGTGTACACACATATTTTCCACAGTCCTGCACCTCACTTTTTTACTTTGCTATATCCCGTGTGTCAGCTTCTAAAGAGCTTCCTCATTCTCTCGGCACATAGTTTTCCCTAGCAAGGATGAACCATAATTTATTTGGTCAGTCCTCTATTTAGACTGCACCCAACCTGTTGCTGTGACAAGCACTGCAGCAACTGCAGCAATAAACCCTGCCTGTGTCACAAGAGTGAATAAACTTCAGGGTAAATTTCTAGAAGTAAATATTCTGGGTCAAAGTTATGTTCATTTGTAATTTTTTTTCTTTTGGTGGTATTGGATTTGAACTTAGGGCCTGGCACTTGCCAGGCAGGTGCTCTACCAATTGAGCCACGCCCCCAGCCCTGTGCATTTGTAATTGCAATAGATGTGGTCTGGCATCTTTAGATGTCCGCAGCACTGTTGAGGAGGACCTGCTTCCCACACACTCCCATCATGCTATGCCATCAAATTTCCAGGCTTCGATCACCTGAGCAGTGAGAATAGAACCACAATATAGTTTTAGTTTAAATTTAGTAAAGTTCAGCATCTTCTCATTTCTAGCCATTTGTTCTTCAGTCGAATAGTCTCATCTCCTTGGTGCACTTTGTCAATTTGGTGGTTGTTTTTGTTCTCCTTTACTGATTTGTGGAAGTTACCTGTCTATGATGGAATTAGATCTGTGTCTGTCATATAAATTGCATATGTTTTCCCCAGTTTGTCATCTGCCTTTGGGTCTGTCATGGAGGAATTTCTTTTGAGAAATGAGATTTGTCAATATTTCCTTTTATGGTCTTTGGATTTTTGTACCATACTTAGAAAGTCCTTCCTCAGGCTGAGATTGGGTTTTGTTAGTTAGTTTGTTTGTTTTTATGTAGCGTACTGGGGTTTGAACTCAGTGCCTCATGCTAGGCAGCCATTCTACCACTTGAACCATGTCCCCAGGCCAGAGATTTTTTTCCTCCAATCTTCTCCCACCTTTTTCTTTTTTTTTTTTTCCTTAAAGGAAAAAGTTCCCTCAATGTTTCATCTAGCTCTTATGTATTTAAAAATATCTGATCTAGCCAGGTGCCAGTGGCTCATGCCTGTAATCCTAGCTACTCAGGAGGCAGAGATCAGGAGGATCCCGGTTCAAAGCCAGCCTGGGCAAATAGTTCATGAGACCCAATTTCAAAAAAAAAAAATACCCCATACAAAAAAAGAGCTGGCAGAGTGGCTCAAGTGGCAGAGCACCTGCCTAGCAAGTTCAAGGCCCTGAGTTCAAACTCAATACCACCAAAAAAAAAATTATCTGTCCTTCCATCCATCCATCCATCCATCCACATACCCACCCACCTACCCATCTATCTGATTTCAGTTTTGTTATTTATGTGGTGTCAAGTTTGAGGCTGGATCCTGCTGCCTCAGCTCCCTGAGTGCTGGAAGGGGGATGGGTGCCACCACACCCCTTCCTGTTTTAATTATTTTAGTGTTATAATACCTTTAGAAAATGTAAAAGCTTTATTGAGATAACTTACCTGCCATTAACCCATTACAAGGGTTCAATTCAGTGGTTTTTAATGTATCCACAGATAGTGCAACCATCACCATGGCCAATTTTCATAACAAAAAGAAACTCATAACCATCGACAGCTCTCTCCTTACCCCACCCACTCCTCTCTCTCTAGAGCTCTTAATTCTGCACTTTCATAATAATGGACTCAAGCTGTAAGTATCTTTGTGGCTGGCTTCTTTCACTCAGCGTCTTCTCAAGGATCATCCGTCTTGTAGCGTATATATGATACATCTTAATACTTGTGGAGTGTCTTGCTTCTTGCTAGATCCCCCCACTTCTGAGTTTCCTTGGTTGTTCTTCCACTTACCTAGTAAAATAAAAAATCCTGTTTGTGTTATTACCGGGCTTACGTTACACTCACAGATGAATCTAGGAAGAAATGTCATTTTCATAATGGTGTCTTTTCCTCCAAGAGCATGGTAATCCTTCCTATTTGCACAGACTTCTCTTTGTGTCTCTCAGTAATGTTTTACCATTCATTTCATTTGGGTCTTACACATTTTTGGTTAAGTTTACTCCTGGATAGCTGACTTTTTTGATAAGTCTTTTCTTCCATACATGGAAGTTGTTTCTATGAAGGCTATTAACCTCTGCCACCTCATTAAATTATTTTATTGTTTATAATGGTTTTTCAATTTAGTCTTGGGTTTTCCGGTTACCACGGCAAAGGATAATTTTCCTCCTACTTTGTTTTATACCTTAATAAAATCTTTGTTTTATTTAGTAGGATTGATATAATAGACACTCTAGCTTTGTACCTTCTAGATTTCCCCCAGGTATTTTATAGGGTTAAGTAAGTCCCATCTGTTCCTGTTTTATTAAGGAGTTTTAAAATCCAGAATGGACATTGACTTTTGCCAGATGACTTTTCAGTGTTTATGAAGAAAATCATATGGTTTCTTTCCTTCAGTCCCTTAATATGAATAATTATATTATACAATTCATATTGAACTTTCTTTGTACTCCTGGTTGAACCCCACTTGACCATAAGGAATATTTCTTTATAATACAGTTGCTGGATTGGATTTGTTGTTTTATTTTGGATTTTTGCCTCAATTTCATGAAAGAGATTGTTCTTTTCTTTTTTTGGAACATGTTTTTTTTTTTTTTTGACAGAGTCTTACTATGTAGCCTAGGCTGGCCGTGAACTCAAGGTCCTCCTGTCTCAGCTTCCTAAGTGCTGGGATTACAGCTATGAATCACCAGGTCCAGTATTGGAACCCTTTTTTGTTGGGTTTTACTATCTGCAGCTTTCCCTTCTTGCCCTATGCTTTGGAACAGTTTAAATAGAAATGGAATTCCCTAGTCTTTAAAGGTTGAATGATTATGCCATGACACTGTCTGGCTAGGGTGTTTATCTGGGGTGGGTTGATAGCTCTTTGATGTTCTCTATTTCTTCTGTAATAATTGGTTTGCTTTAATTATTTCACTGCTTCTTGAATGGGTTTATGTTCCTCTAGAAGACTACCTACTTTATACAGGCTTTCAAATTTATTTGGAGGAGATGGAACAAAGTAATTCTTTCAGTTCTTTTAAGTGGTGATTTCACCTTTATTTCTTTTTTCTTTTCTTTTCTTTTTTTTGGCAGTGCTGCAGTTTGAAATCAGGGCCTTGCATTTGCTAGGCAGGTGCTCTACCACTTGAGCCACCCCCTCACAGCCCCCTGTATTTCTTGTATTGTGTATTTTGTGCTTTTCCCCTGTTTTTCTTGACTGTCTATTAGTTAGATAATATTATTTATCACTCTTTCCCAAAGATGCAGCTTCATTATTTATGAGTAATTACCCTTTTCTGGTCTCTAATTCACGAATTTGTGCTTTTATCTTTATTAAAACTTATTTTCTGCTTTTTTTAGTTTTAAAAAAATTCTCAAGTTAGAGACTTAACTCTTACACTGAGCAAAAAGAAAAAATAACACTATGAAGTCTCTGTGTACTTTTTTAGGTTCTAATATGTAGTATTTTCAAAATATAATTTTGTTTTGATTCTTTCTTGAACCTAAGACTCATCTGAGTCCCATTCAAGTAAGGTGCTTTGTGTTTCATCATTTCTGGGGTTTTTAGTGTTATGATCAGAGGATCTCATCTATTCCTTTTTTTAAAATTTATTGAAGTTTTCTTTGTGATATGATCTACAGTAATTTTGTGCCTTTTGTAGATTTTTTTAAAGGGGTCTCGAGAAGAAGGTGTTGCTCTGTTTTCAAGATATACCAGTAATTATATTAGTTAGGTCTTCTGATCTTTACTTACTTGTCATGATTTAGAGAGGAATTAGACACTTTCTGCTAATGTGGTCCAGTCTGTTTCTTCTTGTAGTGCCTATAGCTTTGGCCCTATGAGTGAAGATGCAGTGTTATTTAATGCATGAATATTAGTACTTTAAATCATATGTGAATTGCTTTAAATATGGTAAATATTTACTACTTCTTGGCCTGAAT